TTGGGGTGTGACAGGAGTTCACTGTGTTTCGACCAGAGAGAGAGAGATCTCAAAATTTTTTAGGGTAGGAGTGCTCACCTCCCCTATTTAAATTCTTATAACGTATTATTATAATATTTTATTACGCTCTACCTAATACCTGAGGTGTCGCGTTAAGCGTCTGCTTTTAACATACGAAAACCACGTCCGCTAAAGGACGTGGCCAGCAGCAAGCAGCAACTGCAAAGGCTGCAAACAAAAGCAGCAGCAAAAGTTTAAACCAAGTAAAAATTTTTGAAAATAGTGATGGTCCCCAAAGACCATCATACTCAATCAGACCATCACCTATTTAAAAGCATCTTTTCTTCCTTTTTTTTTTTTTTTTTTAAATTTTAGGATTGTTACATCATTGGATATTGGAGGATTTTCCTTAAATATTAAATGGCTTGATCCATAAAACCACAAGCTCTACTACTCTAGTTGATGGCCTTTACTGTTTTTCATTTGCAGAATGGAAACTCTTAAGAGGCACTTGCCAGCAGGTGGCCCCGATGGACTGTCTGAACTCGGGAAAATTGCTGCAAGATTTGAAGAGAGGATCTTTACTAGTGCTGAGAACCCGGTTCTCCTTTCTCTCCTTGTCAATCTGTAATTTATATTTTCAGTTGTGGATACCTAGTGATTGTTTTCTTGGTTTCCCCTCCTTTTCTTCTTCTTTTCCACTTCGTCTCGAGAAATTTCATCTCATTCTACAGTTTCATGCCCCTATTAAATTTGCCAACTTGGAAGTCTTATTTGGAATGAAATATGATAATATGACAATGTGAATCTAGAATTGGATTCACACTGAATTGTATTATACAATCAGGTATGTAAGATAGAAGTGTATATGTCAGTATTGTGGGAGACAAACACTACTTATTTGCTCTGGTTAGCAGATAATCATTTAATTCCAAAATTTTAGTGGGTAAATCACTTTAAATAACATTGTCTTGAAGGTTTACAAATTTGGATTCTAAACTGTCATACATATTTTTTTTTATAAATATTTCGTATATCTAGATATTTCTATTACAAATAACATCCTTTTATTTGAGTATTGGGCATATGGACATGCATGCACCAATAATCATGCATGTATACCAACGTATTTATATGTGCATGCTACATGCATCCTGGATATTTGTCATGTGTACACATAATGCCACATAGATGGTTCTGTTGCCATTCTTGTTTGGTTCCATTCATTTTCTTTATTTTTCCTTTCTCAGTTGTTCAACTTCGGCATGATATTTTTTTTAATGTTTTTTAATGTATGGGGTTTAATGTTAGAGCTGTTTCAGTGTGTTGATGTTTTGCAGTTTAAATAAAGACTAGTTTTTGTTCATTTGGTAGTTCAGAAAACTGGAATGGCTTTCTGTGGTTCCTCCTGATTTTGCGAGTTGTTATCTTGGGAGAAATTCTTTACGACATAGACTTGCTAGCCTTAAAACCTCTCCCCGCCGACCCTTGACATGGCAAACTGTGTAAATAAGCAAAGAAACGAAAATCTACTCTTGTGTATGTTTGGGATGGCATGTGCTGGGAGTGAATCAAAGAATTGGAGATCAGCTTGGTGAAAACGTTGGGAAAACAAATATCACTGTATGAAATAAGTTAAACTGAATTGATTGTGAACTTTGACAGACCCAACATTTTCTTTTTATATGATTGATATCCGACTTTGTTGTTTGCATGAACTAATGAATAATTTTAATAACCCACCCAACCTTTTTAGTTGTTTAGGAAGAATCCGGCTTACACGCCCTGAGCTTAACTATTGAGTGGGCTCAAAACCCTTGCCATCCATATAAACTTTTAACACTTATTAGGGAGAATTAGTTAGACTGAGTGATCATTGGAACAATTGATTATCTTAAGCAGGACGTGGAAATAGATAGAGTAGAAGGAATTATGGTTATCGGTTGTTAAGTCGATGGTTTGTCGACGATTGAGTGTTAATTTTGAAGCAAGAAATTTTTGTATTATGGTATAGTTATTCATGACAAAATAATTAAATATTTATGCTTATGATTCTATACCTAATCCTGTATATCGTGATTAGTTGGATGCTTTATACTCATAAATGTTAGTCCCTTATGAGAATCTCAATATTCACATTTCTCACCTCTAAATTATTGATTTCCAGGCGGATTATTTGAGGAAAATATCTCTAAAGATGCTCACTATGGAGACACAATCCACCATGGGGAAATTTACGCCATCAAACCCTATTGGAGGAAGCCAAAATATGCAAGATCAAGGTGAACATTTGTCAAGTACAGAAAGTTATTTTATATATATATATATATATATGGAAGATACTACAAAACGCCTATAGGCGAAAATGGATAGTGATTTCGCCTACCCTCATCACCGTTCAAAGTTCAATGAACGGTTACGATTGTCTGATAGTGTTTCATTTTTCTTTTTTTTTTCTACAAATCGGAATGAACTTAAATTTAGAATATGTGTTCATCAAAAATAGGTGAATCTAGGAAAAATATCAAAAACATATTTTACATGACATAAATTGATCAAAATACCCCCGAAAAGTTTCAGAGGTATTTTGGTCAATTTTATTTTTGAGAAATATTTTTTTTATATTTTTATTAGGTGCACCTCACTAAGATGTACACACGCTCCAAATTTCAAATCATTCAGATTTATAGAAAAACATAAAAAATAAAACATTACCAGACAATCGTGACTGTACAATGAACTTTGGACGATGATCAGGGTAGACGAAATCACTGTTTATTTTTACCTATAGGCATTGGGAAGACT